GATCGGTATGTTAATGAATTTAACTTGTCACGCTAGATTGACAGCTTTTCGCTGTAAAACAAAATCAAAATTCCATGACTCCACACCTTTTATCGTAATTGTCGTACAGAGAAGACAAACACTCGCAACTCTAATACATTAGCTAATTAATAGTACAGGGTGTCACAAAAATCGCTAGAGTATATCTTGATTCAAATTTGGAAAGTAAAAGCTCCTTGAAAAATACACAGCCAAGTTCATTATCTCAATGGTGGCTCAAAAAAGCGTGACTAATAAACCATGTTTTTTGTTTTTGAAAGTAAGTTACCCATATTTGATATTAGCGTTGATCGAAGATGGCGTAAAAGATATGTGGAACGGAATTTGATTGATCAATTTAAATTAAAACATTTTCTTAAATGACACACCAAATTATTACTATTTTTTCTAAACGATCTTACTTTATAATGGAAATATTAAACAAATATGTACCTATGAAGAACAAAGCATTCACTAATACATTTTTTACTCCATGGATTACTGAAAATATTAAATTTTAAATGATGTTAACTTATTAACCCTTATTAAATATATCAAATAAGTATTTCTAATACGTTGCAATTTATTTTAACTTTTTTGCAATGGCATTAATTGGCAGTGAAGAAATGGTTTTTTAAAATTTTATTTATTGTAGTGTCAGTAAATTAAACAAAAACTAAGTATAGATTTTCTAGCTAGTGTTATAGCAACAATTTTATACATAAAATATTGGATAAATTAAAATAAATCTCAAACTATTAAAAATATGTACATGATAAATTTAATAAAAGTTATAGATGTTTATAAGACCTCTCAGAAAAAATGATAATATATATGGTGTGCTATTTATGAAAATCGAGATTTTTCAATTTAAGTGATCCAATTATAGTCGTTTATTTTGAACATCCTGTGGCATATACTTCAAATTCCACTGCATTTGTCCTTTATGTCATCTTCGAATAACACTGATATCAAAAATAATGACTCTATGGTAATTTTTCTACAAGTGTGAAATCCAGTATTTTTTAGAAAAATAAAAAAATTTGAAAAACTGTTATCCAAATATAGTCGGTTATTCTGAACACCCTGTAGCATATAATTCAAATTCCGGTGCATATGTCTTTTACGCCATCTTCGAGTAAGGCTAAAACTAACCAAAACTAACGCTGATATCAAAAATAATAAAATAATAAAAAAAATGTTAGGTTTGGGTATGTATTATTAATAAAAAGGTTCAAGAATTTCAAAGCGAATTCAAAGCAAAATTTGAAAATAGGGTGTTCCATTTAAAAGAAGTTATGTTTTATACTTCATGATTTGTTGAGCCATCCTGTATTCTTTGAAATACTTTTAAATTGTGCATCCTAACAATATTTACAAATTTTGTATTTACCATTCTCCCATAACTTGTGAAACCAATGAGATAATGTACTTAATCCTTGACTCACCCTGTACATTACTGAGCAAAGGAGCACTATGGTGGAGGTGAACATTGAAAATGAATGATTGAGTTGAGCTGTCAGCCCGGACCTGCAATAAATAAACCTTTGATTCGATTTTTCTTATTTCTTAGTGATTGTTAGAATATCTATCTTTTTATTTTGATCATATTTAATCAACAATGACATTAATCTGCAATCAATGGATGAAAAGTAAATTTGGAATAGAGTTCAAAAATTAAACGAAAACTTGAGTTGTGGATACGTTGATATTTCCAGTGATTCTATCAAGTTTGTGTTTATAATAAATAATTCTCTAAGTTTTGGAATATCACCTAAAACATGCCTTGGTAGTCAAATCATAAATAAAAGTGAGTAGAGCAACATGCAAAATTTTGTCGCAATAAGTCGGCTCGCATCGTCCACTACAATTTCAGAAAAAGCTGTATAATCCAATTCTAAACTTTGTGGTCGACAACAATTTACTAAATAATATCTAACATGGATACCTACCAGGAAGATCGATTCGGAGAGCGGTATTTTGCTTTGTGCAACATATAGTTAATATTTTATAAAATGGTGAAATCCCTATATGGCTGTTTCTAGATTTGTCAATAAGAAAACAGCAAGTTATAATGAGCAGAACTAGTAATTGATTACTATCAGAAATCAAAAATATTGTGGCAGGAATACCGCAAATATCGAGCAAATATTGTTTCTTTTGTATGCTAACTACATAAAAGAATTAGATTTATTAAACTAAAATTATAAAAACTAACGACGAAATAATTAAGCAGGAAGCTGAGAGGTTTCAGTGTTGAGCAGATAATTGGTGCATTGCAACTGTTTTAAGAGATGGGACCAAGTTTTTGTATATATATACTTGGATGGCACGTTATCATTCAATCATCATAAACTAGATTAAACGATTTATGGTTTTAGAGTGACATAGTTTAGATAGTATAGATATAGCTTAGCAGAAAACTTACAAAATGATTTATCATCAATCAAAGGATATCAAAGAAAGGAGATGTATTTAACTAAAGACAGCTCTGCGAATCAAATTATAATTGTAATTATGTAATCCATCGTTGATTGGTGGACAAGTATATTTTGCCATGTGTACTTGTGTCGGAGTTTACTGCGAAAAACGTGTTGTTTATTCTCAAAATATCTTAAGCACAAAGTTCAATAAGAAGTTCTCCGTTCCGTTTTATCGTTTCTTCGTTGAATCGCTGCTTTATATTGTCAATGTTATTATTCCTCATTTTCGCAATAACATCCCGAGTTTTTCGGTTCCCTGTAACTTGTCAGCACGAAGGTGTGTTCTAAAAATATTCCGTTTCGCTCTGCGGTTTGATTATCCCCTCTGTTAAAGGAAAAAAAAGGCTCACTCTTCTTTCCGCTGTATATGAGCAGAGAATTTTGGTATTTTGATGTTCCTTTCCTTTCTTTCTAGTTTCTGAGAGAGAACATATTTCGGTTATGGGAGCATTTATTTCAGTGTCTCCTGGTCTCTTTTATACCAGAATTTAATATTCCAGCATACCAGTTTTAGTTCCTTTTTCGTAGTCCTCTGTGGTCGTCTTCCAATCTGTCGGTCTATGAGTATTTACGTTTACCGGGACAGGTCGCTAGCCCCAACTCGTCATCGTTATTCGGGCTTGGAGGCTGCTACACGACTATTGAGTTACGCAGTTCGCCCAACAGTAGTGCAGGCACAGTGTCCCATATTTTGTATTTTTTTATTAGAAATGGAATGAACTAATGATAATATGTTGCAACTGATACACGCCGGTTTTATGGAATTTTTCGCACCCATATTACAAAAATAAAAATAAAAAGAAGATGCTTGGAGAGAATTACCCGATATGTTGAAGACTGAAATTAAGAAGAAAATGCAGTCCTTACTTGCGTCCTTTCGAAGAGAGAGGTAGAAACTGAAGACCACTTAGGGAACAGGATCCGAAAAGGTTTATGGTACCAAATGGTTTGCTTTGAAGAATTTATTATTTTTGAAAGACAAGACTCAACCAGTACAAACAGGATATTGAAGTCAACGTAAGTAAAATGATAACAGAAACAATAAAAAAACTCCTGCAGATTTACGCCGAATTTTCGTATATGAAGAAGTGGTGTATTGTTATCTCTTTCTTGCCTCGAACTGCCCTCTACAAATTTCCCATTAATCTCGTTTTCAAAACTATCCTGTCCTGTATATATTTTTAGGGATGATTTGGTATCATAGGTTTTTCTCAATACGCAACTTAACATTAAATCTTCAGGTGTTTTTAAAAAATTGTATTGGTTGATTCTTGTCTTTCAAAAATAATAAACTCTTGTCATGTTGTCATATTTTGTACTCGCCCAAATATGTTGGCGATCAAAAACATAATATGACAATAGTGTCATATTTTGAATTAGCTAAAATATGTTTCCAAAGGCACGGTGTTGCCGAAACAGCAGCCATAAACCAATAAATAACATTTTTTGTTCTAATTTAGTTGAGAAATATTAGGGTTACAGCAAGTCTTTCTCCTTTAAGAATAGGTTTTCTAATTTTTCAAAGAAACTTCAACAGGCTACTGTAATAATTTTTAAAAAATTTCTGGATTCCTCCTGCGTCAGTTTTTGCTGAGTCGAAATTGCTAATATTTCGCCAATCATCCTGTTAGCTTCTTCAGAGCTTGACTGAAACTGGTTCTCATTTTACTCTGTACACCTGCTTATATATTGTTTTAGGGGGACGGAGCTAAATGAGGAGCATGAACACCGTCTCGGATGACTGATTCCCATATCGGTGACAGATAAAGACCTAAGCCGCGGTTAAGATTGTTAGGTTGTTCATAGGTTTCTATTCGTCTTTACCTGTCACCAATATAGGAATCAGTCATCTGAGAAGATGTTTATGCCGCTCATTTAGCTCCACTCCCCTCAAACAATATATAAACAGGTACAGAGTGAAATGCAAATCAGATTTAGTCAAGCTCTGAAGAAGCCAACAGGATGATTGGCGAAACGTTAGCAAAAACCGATGCAGGAGGTATTTAAGAGGTTTTGTGAAAAATAATATCTAATCTATAATTTGTATCAATCTCCATTATTTTACCACAAGTTCCAGTCTGGTTCCATTTTTAAATGACACAATAAACTACTACCACTATAAAGATTTCTATTATTAAATATAGTCGTTGGCCAAAATCGATTCTACCTTTTTTTCTTCTTCAATAAACTTAAACCAACGAAATTATGCTCATAAATTAGACGGATTGCTCGCTTTTTTCGTGAATATTTTCGTTATCAAATACGCGTTAATATGAAGCAATCGTTTCCACTCATTTCACTGAAAAAGGATTATCGACAATCTATTGAGTTGGTGAAAAGAACGTCAAATGAAAAATGTATTGAAAATTCTAAAAATTCAAAAAAGGTAACGTGGCAGCTTATTACCTCTCAACTAGAAAACAAAAAGGAAAAGAACGAAATAAAAACATCAGCCATGATCTCAACATATATTTTATTAACACCGCAAAAAAGACGGTCTCAGCAACAGCACACATGGAACGTAACGTAATTATCAGGAATTCCTTTTAACATCGTTTACATCTCCTTTAGAGTCTTTTTTTATGTACCCCTCAAATTAGACTGAAAAACTCAAGCTGCAGTGAAATACGTGGCTCAGTCTGGATTACTTGTATTGACTCTCATTTGCAATAGATGTTTTCAACACGAGGATAGTTCTCATACCAAAAAATTGTAATGGCGAGATTGCAGACAATTTTCGTCCTATTGCTGTCCTGCCCGTATTTTCCAAATCCTTCGAGGCTTTGGTAAAAGAAAGAATTGTATCGTATTTTGATAAAAATAAAGTTTTTGCCGAAAGTCTGACATGTGCATATAGGTAGATATTCTGGCCGGGAGATTAAACAAAATTACATGTCAGATTGGAAAACTCATTCAACTTACAACTTTTGAGACGGCTTTAACGTTTTAATTTAGTACCTTCGTTAACGTGATATCATATAGCATGTTGTTGAGGGAAGACTCTGAAAGGAAAATAAAAAAATAAAGAATTCCGACTTTGATATGTATGATACCATAATCTGTGTGATCCCTATCATCGTGTTGGAATTTAAAAGAACTGTTAAACCCATTTTAACAGAAGAATGCGATTATAACTACAAAGATTTTTTGTGAATGCAACCATGAAAGCAACATGACCTCTGAATTTTAGATTGTTTGTGTATGCGTAAACTGTTTGTTATATATATTGTATATTTACTCTAAATGTATTGTTTATACATGTTTTAAACTACCATATCGTATTGTAATTATTTGCGCAAAATACAAAATTTGCACAATTGTTTGTCATTTCTTTCGAGTTTTTACTGCAATTTCTTCATTATTACGTTATGAGGCAAAAGTATGAAGTGTTTTTTACCACGTGGCGACTTTTGAGGCGCTGAGAAAATTATAAAACAAACCGGGATGAGATTTCGATCGGACGCGCTGAGCGGGTTTTAAATTAAAATTTTATAGCCTGTCGCGATGCACCGGCAGCGGTTTCACTCAATCCGCGGTTATTGATTCTTTTGTAAGCGGCATCGTATAATAATTACTATCGATACTGTGTAATGATTAATCAATTAATTAACTTCGTTTAACAGTTGTCTATTTTCCGCCGAGCCCAACATGCGGGCAAGAATTTGCGGTTTTTACGCCGTTTTAACCCGATCGCTACCCGTAGATACGTTTCATGTAAGTAGCAGTTGTTCGTTTTTCATTCTTGGCCGCGGACCTGCCTGTCTGCACGTCCAACCATATGCCAGAAGCGGTGCCCTGCAACCGTGCACCAGATCCGAGTCCAATCAGTTATTGCTCGCGATATTTACCGCTGCTTTTGTATGTTGTCTTCGGGAATCGAATAATCGTCGAAAAATGCAACACTCCGCATAATAATCTATTCTCACGTCTCACGGTAAGGTGTAAGCGTAATTACAACGTTTGCAAGGTCCCCGACGGCCATATTTCGCGTCGGTCTATATAACTAGTTGAATTTTTTGTTTAACGGCGAGTCATTAGAACAACGACCTTTGTTATCAGCTTACCCGGGCGAAATGCGGACCGCAGCAAGGTAAGCGAACCGCGGTACTAATTAAGTTACGTGTAAGTCAACGTGATACGTGCGTTTTTACGGAAGGAGTAAAATTATAAACGCTCCGCTACAATTGCGGTGCTGTTATGTATCGGGATCGGTAATTTATTATTGGCGACTGCTATTAAGTGTCCGGGTCTCGATTAAAATGTACCGCAGATTGTTGTCTAAACGCAAACACGATTGCCTTTGTTGTAACTGTTTCCACTATAATGTTTAAAATATTATGTTGCCATTGAGATTGTGATATGCATTGATCACATTTCCTTAAACTTCCTACCACACTTGCATTGAAGTAGAGCATCAGATCATTCATATTTGACTGTGACTTTACTGATCATTATCATGTGATGATGAATATCAACAACCATTAACTGCTTAACTGAAACTTGTTTGAGGGGGGCCGAGCTAAGGAGGTGCACGAACATTGATTCCAATATTGTATTTACAAAACTTGATGGCGCTTCGCCAATGACCCTGACTTTTTTGCAACGTTATCCCTAATCTTTTTAAAATATCTTATCATATCAAAACCTCATCTGTTTCTAAAATTCTTCGTTATATTTAGTTTTGCTTTACCTTGATAAAGAATTTATCATACCCATAAAGAAATAGACCAAAATGAATCAGACAATTCTCTCTTCGCATCTTAAAATTGCCTCCATCTTGTCCCAATCCCAGTTCGATGCCTTTTCAAACATGATTCATCAACACAAGGGAAACAATCAAACTCTTCTCAACTACCAAACACTGTGGTAAATATATCGTCGCACCAACCCCCTGAGATAGAAAACTCAGTTCTTGCAAGAGGTTCCAACTTCGTCCTTGCCCAACGTATTATCCCAAAAGAAGAAATCATTTCAAATGTCGAGTCTATCCTAATTAAACTATCATCTTAAACAGCTAATGAAATTCGATTTGAAACTGCAAAACATCCATAAAACATTTAAATTTCCTAAATCTAATATTCCAGAACGCAGTTCACGATATTCTTACAGACGGATCCTATCGTCAACGTAAAAAAGATCCTACATCATCCATAGAACGCAATCATAAATCTGTTATTTGGGCTTCTTCTCTACAAGAATCCGTAAAACAAAGTGTCACTTTTCATGACTCTTAAATCCATCGCCTGTAAGAACTCTCTGAGTTTCGCAAACCGGGATTATCCCTTCGACCGATTGTCCGCATCATTGGTTCTCCAATATATTCTCTAGCAAAATATCCAGCTTCTATATTATAACCCTCTACAGAGAAGACTTATAGTTTCGTAATTAATTCCAATTAAAAACCATTACATTAGATCCACAGGATATTCTGGTTAGTTTCGACTTAGAATCCCTCTTTACTAAAGACCCACCTTCAGTTAAATTAAAATCCGAGAATGCGGAACAAAATTTTCTCATCTAAATTAAAAAAATGTTTGTCTGGAACATATTTTTCTTATAACGGTCAAATTTTTGACGAAACGTCGGGATATTGGGTCATTCTGATTACAGAAAACGTACGCACACAGATCGATACCCTAATGCGTTGGCCCAAAAATCATCGGTTATGAACGCTTTTGTTTACAGAGCGTTCCATCACAAAATAAACCTCACAGGATCCTTCCAAAGATCATGAGTCCGAAAGTAGCACCACACTTGCCATTGTTGTACTTCCTTATATTCAAAATATCATTGACTACATATTAAAGGAAATATAACGAGACTTACCACTTGTAGAAAAATTTCTCAGTATCGTCAATAAACCACAAAAAAATCAGTTTGAGATACCAGAAGCAAAAGGACGAAAAATATCAATGAGGCTCAAATAACATAAAGAGCTTTAAGACTACGACAAACAAACTCTTCAGCAGTTGCCCAACACAATCACGAAATCAAATTTTATTCGAAAAAATTAAAAATTTATTCAATTCTTCTAGCAACTAGAAATCCGAGAGTCCATAGAAATCTATAAGGAATCAAACAATCCTAACTGCGATTCAGGCCTTACCTTTCACCAATATGGAAATCAGTCATCCGAGACAATGTTCATACCCGTCATTTAGCTCCTTCCCAGGTACATAAAATAACTCTAGTTTTGCTTTACATCGAGAAGGAATTTCTTACCCGTAAAAAAATAAAGCAAATCAATAAATACATATTGAAATTGCTCCCATCTTGATTTGGTCGATTTAAATTCTTTATCGAAGCAAAACATAACTAGATTTAATTCATAAGCAGACAAGAATTTGAAATGAACTTGCTGACGTTTCACGAATCATTCTGCTGGCTTTTTCTGAGCTTAACTGAGACTAGCGCGCATTCTACTATGCACCTGCTTATACAGTCTGTCCAAAATCAGGATGTCTATCGTGGGTATATCGGAATCCATAAGAGCATGGCGGTTAAATTAGAAAGAAGTTGCAAAATTTAAAGGTAAATAACGTACTGTTAACATTGGTTTCATTTGGTTCTTATTTTTTCTGGTGTTATTTAGACAGATATAAAAAAATAAAAATGACTTTTGGTTGCCACTTTTTGAGCTGTACAAGATAGCCTGGAGAAATTTTAAGTACAACGTTTCGTTTCGGCGAAATAATCGTGAACTTTATTTTTTCATACAGTCCGTGAAAGCACTACACCATGTATTAAATAGAATTTTTTGCTACGAACACGACGGTGTCTTATTCTACAATGCTTAAATAACAAAAAAAGGTTTCCATTAAATTTTCAATGTTTTGGTGGACTAGGTGCTCACATTATGGCTTTAAGGGAATGTCAAAATAACTTTTTCGACATATTTGCTAAGCAAAATACTGTACGCAAAAATTCAAGGTAAAGAATTAAAATGCTCCAACACTACTAGAAATATTGGACCAGAAATCCATAGTGAAACGTTTCCAAAAGTAGTATTTGCGTTTCATTTATGGTATGCATTCATAGAAATTAAAAGAAAAAAGTGGTTAACCAAGGCGGAAATCACTTTCAGCCCCCAGTACTTTCATAATAAAACTAGGGTTCGTGGTGACGTCCATATGCTGAACTTCAGATTTCGAAGAATTCAGAGAAAACGTCTCTACAAAGGAAGAATTAGAACGAGAACTATTGTGTGTAGCAGGCGACACTGCGCAGAAAGGGATTTGTGGTTTGTTTCCTTTTTTTATGTTTGTAATTGGTCATATCTTTTGTTTGTCATAATACCTCCACTTTTACTTACAACTGTAGAAGACTTTTTCATTTGTTGCTTGTTAAGGACATAATATGCAAGTATAAATTTGAATGTTACTTTCAGGGGTGGGCTTGAACTTTTTATAATTGTTTTCGCCTATTTTTTTCAACCATAAGCATAGGAAATTTTTGTGATAATTTCGGTATTATTTTGTCACGAACTAAATATTGTTATTATTAAATTGGCACGTGCCGTTTTTTAAAGTTTTTGCTGTTGTTTTTTTTTTTGTTATACAAACAGACGTGCTTTGTTATCTAAGGAGAAGTTCACTATGCTTCGATGGTATAAATTATGCTATAGTAGATATAGCCGTTGAAGTTGGGCTGAATAACTACCCAGAGTACAAACATTTTTGAAAGTTAACTAGAAATCTGAAGTAGTATGATGCGTTTATGACACCAGTTTTATCCAATAAACCCTGCAATAAAGAAAAAATAGATAATGTATTGTTAGTTGTAATTGAAAATCTTGAATTACAATCTTCAATTCAAATTTAGAATTGGTCAATCGCGAATGGTATACCAGGAAATGTCGCAAAGATGAAAATAATAAGATTATTTGGTAGAAACGAAAGCATGGCAACAAATAATGGAATTTTTAACCAGAGAAATGCTCTCATTATTGGGAGATAATCCTGGAGTAAGTCGACTATTTATACATTAATATCGTTTTAGGTTTAATATGTGGGTTAAGATTTTTGGAATATATTTAATAGACCATATATATTATAATCATTCTCTTAACTCCGTGTTTACTTATCTGATTTCAATCATATTTAAAATCCTATTTAAATATGATTGTTTTAGACCAACAGACACACTATACGCAGAATTAAGGATTCCGAAGGTGACAGATTTAATGCAGAGATAACAGTGTAAGATAATATACAAAATAACCCATAAGCTTCTTAAAAGTAATACTATCCTTATAAGTAACGTAGTTGTGCATAACTAACTAACCAAAACTATGATGTGCGTAGCACTAATATGTATCTACACAAAATTAGACTTACCTTAGCGCTCAACAACCCTTCACAATTCAATAGATTACCCTAGGACCTTAGGGATGGGGATGGCCTTGTTTAGTAGAATTAATACACGGGTTTTCTACAACAACAAAAACTTCGATTCCTAGTAAAAACAATTATCTACTTAACCTGCTCTATTCAGTGTATTTATTTATCTTTTGTTATTATGTAAACTATTGTTAAAGTAAGACTTGTTATTATGTAAACTGTTCTTAAAGCAAGAATTGTAATTTAGTTTTGTTATCCTCGTGGAACACGATATAAAAGAAATTTCGAACAACTTAGTGTTTGCAAAAGTTGAAAACTGTTAGTTAGCTATCGGACAGATTTCCGAAAAAATGTATAGGTACCCATTCAGCGGTT